GTGTGTGTGTGTTTATTTATGTACTACAACAATATAGGAGTGGAGCTTTCATGTGGCTTTACAGTATTTTATAGAAATACTTTTTCTTCCAAACAGACATTGCCTCCGATGTGTGTCCCATCAGTGTATGACTGTGATCAATCACTGATTATTCTTTGTAAAGATCTAGTAGAGTGCTGTTTGAATGGGTAAATGAGGGCACAGATTGTAGTGTAAAGTGCTTTGAATATATTGATAACATAGAAAGCTCTATAGAAGTACAGTCCATTTACCATTTACCAAGAAATGAAGGGAGAGAAATAGTTACTTTAGCCTTTAAAATCTCAATTTGTTTGCTTTCATATTTGCTGGCTGGCTCTTCCATGCAGTATTTTGGCATGCAAATAAACTGTTTATGATTTATAATTGATTTTAGGATGAGTAGCACAACAGATTGCTTGACACATAACAGTGTGGACCTAATTAAATCATAGCCGTGAATACTTGGTGCTATAAAGTTCTCAAGGGATTGGCTTTTATCTCTAAATTAAGCCCAGAGGATGTAAAACCTCAGTGTGAATGGCTACTGTTTGTGTTCTTATTCTAACATTTTCTTGGGAGAGCTGAACAAACAAAATGACCACCCTGCTCTCTCCTGTAAGGAGGCACTCCATTGAAATAATATTTCTATCAACACACACACACATTTCTTAAACCTAAGCAGCTTTTGTTGTCCTTGTCCGTGGGGATCAGCTGGATGGCCTTTGAACAGAGGAACAAGGCCATTAAGGATTTCCTCCCATTTCGTTTTTTATCTTGCCGTATTGTGATGGGACCCAGCTGAACGATAGGTCAGATTGGGGGATGTGGAGACCAGACCTCCTGGAGTCCCTCGGTGAAGTCATGTAGCTGTTTCATAAGCTTTCCCCCGCATCTGTGTAGTTTACGGTTCTCTCCCTTTCACCCTTGTGAGAGTCCCAGATCTATTAACGTCATGGTGTGCCGTGGCAAGGCCGCGTTAATTAACTTCCCTTCTTTGTGAGCATTTTAGCAGCCCTGTTGTACATTCTTCTCACACTCAACCTCTGTGTTTTCTTCTCCTCAGCCCAGACAACCATCGTCGGCCTCTTCTACCATAACATGCACAAGTACTACAAAGAGATCAGCCCTGTCAAGACCAGGTAGGAAGACAGGGTGACATGTTCCTGTGGGAACCATGTCCACTGGCACCCATGCTTCCTGAACCTCAGAGCAGCCCGTCAAGAGCTTATCTGTCCTTTCTGCCTATCTCTCATCTCAGCACTCAACATCCACTGACTGATACACCCTGCCATTAGTGCAGCATATCTGTCCCCCTCCTCACCACCCCCTCTCAGCTATTGTCACATCACTGGATCAGCTTGTTCCAGCTCTGTTGCAGCAATTATGTTTATCAAACATGGGGAAGCTGAGATTGAGCAATCTGTTTTCCCACTTTTTACTTTAGAAAATGTCAAGACAAAGAGAAATATCTCAACCCAGTTACTGGTATATAGTAACTGGGTTGGGAATTTAGTAGTTTGCCTGTCGCTTTCTTTTACCATCATCCCCTGCAGAAAAATGAAAGACAGGTGAAAATGTTTCTGCCTACATCTGTGTGTGTGCATATGTGGTAACTCTATCTGGCTGTTAGCTCAATGTCTCTTCAACCACTGAACAGATTTTGTTGTTACTTTCAAAAAAGACCTTGGATTGATATCTACAACTTTAATATCTTTCGGAGTCAATTCAGTTCAAAATGGACACCACGGCTAATTCTCAGTCCATGTTCATAGATGCAGACCTAAAAGGTATAGTCCCTGAGACTGAACAACAGCACATACTTTGAGAACCAACAGATTATGCTTCATTAAGGCTTAAGGATTATTGTGCTGCAGTTTTCTTAGACCTGTCTAAAGCTTTTGACACTGTGGCTCATGACATCTTATGTCAGAAGCTCTCAGAAATTGGTTTCTCAGATCACACAATTGGTTGGTTCATGAACTATCTCTCAGATTGGAGACAATGTGTTCAAACACAATGGTACTTCCAATTATTTAACGGTTAACTCCGGTGTACCTCAAGGCTCAGTCTTAGGTCCCACCCTCTTCACAATCTACATTAGTAATGTAGGTCAGACCATCCCTGATACATCCATACATTTCTATGCTGATGATACAGTTGTTTATTGTCAAGCTAAAACAGTTGCTAAGGTATTCCAGCTTTTGCAATCTGCATTCAACATCATCCAGTCAGATTTGTTCCATCTCAAATTTGTCCTAAACACAGATAAAACCAAACGGATGCTGTTTTCAAGTTGGTCCCAGCAGTTCTTCCTTCGATTTTATCCTCGAAATATGTTCGTATTGAGTTTGTCAATTCCTACAAATATCTGGGTATCTTGGTCGACTCGCATCTCTCTTTTAAGCTTCACATGGAAAACTTGGTAAAGAAGCTGAAAGTTAAATTGGGTTTCTTTTTCAAAAATTGATCCTGTCTAACTCTGAATGCTAGGAAACACCTTGTAACTGTGACTTTCCTTCCCTCCATTGACTATGGTGACATTATTTACATGAACATCCCTACAAGCATCCTGCAGATGTTGGACGCTGTTTATCATGGTGCACTAAGATTCATAACTAGCTGTAACTACCTTACACACCGTTGCACCCTGTATTCACTGGTTAACTGGACATCATTAACTTCACACAGACTCTCTCTCTGGTACATTTTCATCTTTAAATCACTTCTTGGTCTGTTGCCTTCATACATCTCCTCCTACATGTCACTGCATGACTGCAGCTACAGCGTGCACTCTCAGGACATTATTACATTGAGTGTCCCCTCAGTGCAGACTGAACTAGGCAAAAGGGCCTTCTCCTACTCCGCTCCTGTTTCCTGGGATATCTTGCAAAAAGACATGAAGTTCTTGACCTTTTTCATTTACCCTTTATTTATACAGGTAGCCTCAGTGAGTCACAAGAACTCATTTTCAAGAGACACCTGTTTAGGGAGCAGATGGTGGGGGTTAAGGGCCTTGCTCAGGGGCCTAGAGTGGGGCGAATGAGGGTGGAGGCAGGTGTGGGTGTTTCTTCTTTTCCACCCACATTTTGATGTTGACGGTACCGGGAGTTGAACCTGCGGCTTTCCAATCACAGGCCCATCTTCTAACCTCTGCGCCACCACTCCCCAACTTGACCTTGACCTCTCTAATGGGCTTTAAACATTTTCTAAGTTCCTGGCAAAAACCAATGCACACAGGTTTCTGTTTTTAGTTTTCTGCATTGATTTACAACCTAGCTGTTTTTGTTTCGTTTTTTTAATTCTATTTTCTTTTATTTGTTCTCAGTTTGTATGCTTTTTTATGATTGTCTACTGTTGTCATCATTCTTTATTAAAATCAGGTCTCTCTTGTAAATGAGTCCTCAAGGCTCAATGGGATTAACCTGTATAAATAAAGGTTGGATGAATGCAGGAGTTTTGTGTAAAACTTTGGCATTAACTATTAAAGTCAACCTTGTCTGTTAGCAAAATATCTCATGAACCAATGAACAGATTTTAATTGAAACATTCTGGAATAAATCATTGGGTGAGTCTTCAACTCATTCACTTTTGGAGTTAACCCAAATGGCTGCCACAGCTAATGAACCTCAGCAAATACCAAAAAAAAATGACTACAGTTCAGTCATTTTTACAGATATTGAGCTCAAACCTGAGCTGGCAGTAGCTGAGAGACATATGCAACACATATTCAGAGCACAAATGGATACGAGAAATTGCTTGTTTGTTGAAATTGCTGTTTACTTAATGTTTTTTTTTCTTCAAGATTTGACCAAAACAGTTTTCACTGTCATTTTTCAACAAAATCTTATTCTCAGATTTGAAAATTAAAGTCATTTACTATATACGTGTTTTATTGACATTATTTTTATCATTCCATGTGTTTTTTGACTCAGGATTAATGAAGCATCTGTCTACAAGAACCACCAGATACAGGTAGCGAGCTGTCTGATCTCTCTCAAAGTGGAGCCTTTACCAGCTTTGTCAGTCAATCTCTCTGGAGCGCCGGTCATCAAGATCGTCCTCACCCACGTTCTGGTAAATATGAGCCTGCTCCACATCTGGATTCTTCTTCTTTAGTGCATGTCTTCATCAGTTGTTTACTCTCTCTGTGAATGAGTCCAACTAGGAACATGGACTGCTACTATTACTTGTTTAGCTGTTTGTGTGACGTGCATCTTCACCTGAGGGTCTGCATGTGGCTTCATCACTTAGATGCCTCCATGTGAGATCTATAATAGACTTATGTGAGAGGACGAGTGTTCGCCCCAGATTAGACGTGGGCAGCTGGGCTTGTAGCTGCAAAAAGAGCAAAGTCAATTTTTTAAAATCTCTCTTAAGTCTTTCTTCACGGAGTATGTGGCATCCAGAAAGCAAACTGATTCAGGACATTTGAATTGTAAGATTAGGGCGGTTTAAAAGAAACAATGACTTTATTTTATTAACTTTTTTTTCTTTGGTGCTTCATGACAGTGGCTGTGCCAGTTTACCACTGTGATTATTATTACAACAACTCATAATGGAAATTACTTTGAAAATGTGTCATGCTGTGGTCTACAGTGATTATATATATATATATATATATATATATATATATAAACTTTTTCTCACTCATGTTTAAAATACATTTATTCATTTTTGCTTTAATGGGTTAGACAGTCATACATAAGACATTTAATAAAACCAGATTGCTCACTCCCCCTTCCCCCAACTACATGCTGTCCTGTTTAATTTAAAAGTCCCGCTAGAGTGACTTACTTTCCATTAAAGTGAATTTACCGATGCATTTTTTCCCCTTCTTCCCTCTCATAAAAGTACAAAAGCGAAGCCCATGCGGTTTCGTGAAATCACAAAAGTGTTGCTTTGTTTGCCTTTATTTTCCTTGGTGAACTGAATGTTTCTGCTGTAATTATCTGGCCTGGTTCCTGTTGCAGTGATTTCTCTGTTTGCTTTAGCAGACACCACGGGAGAGACTTTATATCTTCTTTGTTGCAGGAGTGTGAGTGATGCTCACCAGCAGTGGCTTTTTGAGTTGAGGTGTTCCTATTATAGTTGGACTGCCGTTAGCGTTACTTTAAAGATAAATCTGTTTTCTCCTCCTTTCATTCTTTTCCTCTTATGTTGTTCGACTTAATATGCACGCATGTTGACCAGTATGCACAGTGCCAGCACATTTCAACTTAACTTAGCTCAGACGATGATTTATGTGGAGGAGTTCTGCTGTAATTCAAAACTAAACACTTTTGGACTAGGGTCGTGTCTAGAAACAGCCAGTGTTGCTATAATTTGTTTTCTGCTATGGTTTGTAGTCAGATTTAGTTAAAAAGTTACTATTTGAGAATTTTTATGTTTTGGCAGCTTGTTTAGAGTTTGAACAGGGGGGGGGGGGGGTCTTAGTAGTACCATTTGTGGCCATTTGACAAACTGTTCAAGTAAGGCACCCTGTCAGGCACCCCGTCTACCCATGTCTATGTTGTTTGGTGGTTTGTGTTTCTTTGGACGGGCTGTACTGAAATGAAATTTTGTTGAGCTTCTGTTCAATGACAATAAAAGCTGATTCTGATAAAGTCTTAAGGCTTTCTAAAGGCAACAAAACTTATTGATTTGTTTAAAAGTTTTTAAGAGGCACAGATACACAGAAAATGACTGTCTAACAGCATGAAGGTCAAGGATTCAAATCTTTGGTTTCCAGGCCATTCTGACCCCCCACACCCCCCAAAAAAGCACGCTTATCTTTTGAAACATTCACAATCCATCCTTTAGGGGTGCCACACTCAGCTACCAAACAGAGCCAAAATTTAAAAACTTTGTCCGAGCCATGGGCCACTTTCAGCTGATACATTAACTTGAGTCAGATGCCAGATCTCTTATTGGTTGCAGGTTCATCAACAAGAGTTTGATCTGTCTTGTTTGACGTTCTGTTACTCTTTCCACATCAGAATCAATAATGACAGAATGATCCAGCCTTCTTTCTGACTTCAAAGTTAACCAGCTAGTAAGAGAAGTCTGTACTAAATTTTGTATTTATCAGTTAAAAAAAATAGAAGAGATACAATATTTTATATTAAAATTATCATCTTGGGGGACCAGATTTGGCCTGCGGCTCTTGAGGTTGACATGTGTGTATGCTGTCCCGGATGGACTGGTGACCTACAGGAATACACACATCTGAAAATGTTGCCATAAATCAGCTGTCTTGTGACAGGTGAGGGTGAAATCTTACAGTTCCATTAAAACATCCAGATTATTTTTCCAAATCTGCAAGAATAGGCTCAAAACCCACAGCTGGACATGTGTGACCTTTGACCTGCAACAGCTACTGACTTCAGTGGGATTAAAAACATTTAAATCAAGGTCAGGACAAGTTAAAACAAATCTACACAAACCTTTGCGTACAAGTGTGTCATCAAAATCAAGTTTTGTTTATATTTTCTATCAACTATGGAGTTATTCTTGAGATGGTATAGAGCGTGTCAAACTCAAGGCCCGGGGGCCAAATGTGGCCCTCGTTGACATATTATCTGGCCCTCAAGATGATATGTGAAACGTAAAATACTTCTATCTCTTGATTTTTCTCAGTAATCTTTGATTATGATGTTGAAAGCACAACAGAGAACATCAAATGAGACCAATCAAACTCTTGTTGAGGAACCTGTGACCAAGAAAAGTTGTTGGATATCTGATTTGACTTGATGGAGTTTCAGAAATTGGCCCTTAGTTTGAAAAAGGTTTAAATTTTGGCCCCCTTTTGTAAGTGAGTTTGACACCCCTGGACGGCAGCCGACTCAGGACCCGAAAGTCCCAGGTTCGATCCCCAATCATTGCACAGCTCGTGGTGTCCCTGAGCAGGACACCCTATCCCCAGTTGCTCCCCTGGTGCTTTCCATAGCTGTCCACTGCTCCACCTGGTGGTGGATGGGTTAAATGCAGAAAGCCAATTTTGCCATTGTATGGGAACATACAATGATGACAACACATAACACATTATTATTATTATTATTATTATTATTATTATTATTGTTGTTGTTGTTGTTGTTATCATTATTGTTATTATTATTATTTACACTATAAATTATTTTCTTTATAGTAGTTAAAAGAAATTCCCCCAAAGAAATTAACAAAATACATATTTAGGTTTTGAAGCATTTTGGGAAAGTTGGCAAATTTCACAAATATATTTGTTGCAATTTATGAATTTGTGGTATTTTTTTAATATATGCTAGTCTGTTAAACCTCAAAGATAGCCTCCCATGGTACCGAACAACACAACTTTTTTTGTTTCTTTAAATTTACATCTAAACCATAGCTGGGGGGGCACAGTTACTGAAAGCCAAGAGGTCAGGGGCCAGACATCCAGCAGTTATTGTCTAAGTAAGTTTGTTTTATGGTTTAAAATCTAGTTTTAATCAAATATGCACCCATTGTTAGGCTAAACAGAGCTCACTCATGGGCCTGATTTGGCCCCCCCGGGCCACCAGTTGAATAGCCCTGATCTAAACCATCTGAATGAAGTCCCTTTTCAGACAAGTGCTCAGTGAGTTCATTAAACCCCCCAGAGGTCTGAAACAAAAAATGTATCTCACCCTCGGCGATCTTTTCATGCTGTCTTGGTTACAACAAGTCTTGTGTACTATCTGCAGCAGTCAATTCATGGAACAGACCCAAATCTCAATTTTCTTTATCTGACACTCGGTTTGATCAAAACATCCACGACCTTAGACTGATGGAATCATCAAGCTGTAAATAACATTGTGTCATGGCAGCTTCTCCATTTGGCTAAGGTCAAAACTATGTGGTTGATGTCAGGATGACCTTGCAATCCTGATTGATGCCCTTTACGCTCAGAGAAACAACTTGCATGCCCACATGTTTTCTCACGCCTCACAACTGTAGTGTTGATTGGAGTCTGGCTCCATTGGTGATTTATCACAACTGTCTGATTCTGGTTTAGTTTGAGAGGCCTTCTGCAAAGAAGAGCAAAAGAAACAACGAGTGAGCGGGCATTGAGATCTGTAGTTACACATTAATACACTGCTGCTGGGTCGTCTGTTCTCATCCTGTCGTTGAGGTGAATGAATGGAAAAGCTGATGATGCTTTATTAAATCTGAAAGGCTTTAAAAAGCTCATTGTGGCATGCAGTTTTACTCTACATGGTTAATTTTCTTAACTATAAAAGAGTTTCTAAGGAGATACAGTTGATGGAACAGTACAGCTAAGCTAACCTTCATTATTTCACTTCACTTACTATTTCTTCTATTTTGTAACGTAACAACCAAATATAACATCAGTAATATTTACTTGTTTGCTTGCTATTGGAAAGCAGCCTATTTTGTATCTTTAGGTTATGATCAATATAGAGCTATAGGTAACTGCTGGTTATTTTAGCCTTGCTAAAGTGAAGGAAACAGCTTACTCTACCCATAAAACAAAAAAATTACACACACTGATGTACAGTTATTATCAGGAGATTTATAATGCTTATAATGCTTCATTTATTTATTTTAACGTTTATTGCCCTTTTATGCAAGTGTGATTTGAGAGGGAGACTTTTTTTGGCGGGCAGCACGGTGGCGCAACTGGTAGAGCTGCTGCCTCTCAGCGAGCAGGTCCTTGGTTCAAACCCCGGTCCAGGGTCCTTTCTGGGTGGAGTTTGCATGTTCTCTCCGTGCATGCATGGGTTTTCTCCGGGTGCTCCGGTTTCCTCCCACAGACCAAAAACATGCATGTTAGGCTGATTGGTTACTCTAAATTGTTCCTAGGTGTGAGTGAGAGAGTGAATGGTTGTTTGTCTCGTTTGTCTATATGTGGCCCTGTGATGGACTTGCAACCCGTCCAGGGTGTACCCCGCCCCTCGCACAGTGATTGCTGGACATGGACACCGGCGACCCCCGTGACCCAAAATGGAACAAGCGGGTAAAGATAATGGATGGATGGATGGATGGATGGACTTTTTTTGGCCTGTTAATGGCCACAGTTTCTGCACTAAGCTAATAGAAATGGCTTTCATCTGTAGTTTAAAATTACTTCAAAACTTAAA